ACTTCTGACCGACAGAAGTGTCGACGCTAACATTTGTGCTTTTTAAAGGTTAAGTTTGTGGTAGTTTGTTATGGCGGCAAGAAAAACCCAAATATGTAGGTCCACGTCAGAATGATTTTTAGCACCTTACCCAGCTCTCCTCCTGTCCTTTCACCATCCCCGCCACGGTGGGTGTTTCCCACTATTACAGAGGCGCAGACCGAGACAGAAAGGGTAATGTGCTGGAAAAGCCTCAAATGCGATGCACAAGGAACAACAGTGACATTCCTGGGATCTGCCAAGGATCCATTTGAGGGACAGAAAGGGGGTTTACAAACATCATTTTTCTTGGTTTTGCCTTTCTATATCAGACTTTATCAACAGTTGGAAAATACTAGTGCCAAAGGGTAACTTCAATTTTTAACCCTTCTGAGGCTGGAAAGAGCCTGTCAAGAATTCTCCTTCCAATCTCTAGCTCTTTGGCAGTACTCACTTATTCAGATCAACCTCGTAAGTCTGCATGCGAGGTTTAGCTCCAGCCTTGTCCGGGTCCCACCGGTAGATGGCGAACTTCTTGATGCGGGGAGCTGCGGCCGCAGCTGTTTGGGCCCCACGGCAGGCCTAAAATGTTGAAAAGTTCATAAGCTAAACTCTTCCATAGCACTACAATACTGGGTATAACTCACACGCGGTTGACACAAGTCTGTTATTCCAACAGAGGACCGTCAGCACCTGTCACATACAGGCATGGCACACCAGGCAGCTGGTGACAGCAGTACTCAACAAGCAGACAAGCTCTTTGTCATCACAGTAATTATTTACAAGGTGTGATGAGTGACATTGTTGGTTAAGTGCCTGGGTGAAAATAGCAGAGATGTCAGGTTCGCAATGGCCTCCTAACTGGGGCTTGATGACTGGGGTGGAGGGCAAAGAGAAAGGGGCATCTGGTAGGGGGTTAATCACACAGTGAGGGCCAGCCCGTGCACCTGTGAGGAGCTGAGCGAAGTGTGGCACAAGGCAGGTGGCTGGAGTGAGGAGAGAGGGGTGCAGAGGGGAGGAAGTCAAGAAGGACGCAGTTAAACTTTTTGATGTTACCCTAAGAGCAATAGGAATCTAAGAAAAACTTTTATTGGAGGAGTGAAATAATCACTTTTATCTTTGAGAAAGATATCAATCTCACTAGTTTGAAGGAAAAACAGAGGTTATTTCCCAGACTCGATCTGGAAACACCAGCTAGAAAGCTATTACCGTTGTCAACACAAAAGATGATTTTTTTTGAGGCCGAAAGCAAGCTAGAGCGTACTGTGCGGGAACACAAGGAAGTTAGGGAACGAACAGCTGAGTCCTCCTTTGTCGGGATCCCACTGGGTCTTCCCAGTGTTCAGGAGGGGGCTCTGAAGAGTTGATGGAAAAATCCCATCATCTTTTAATTACACTTTTCCATGTAATTTCTTGAAGCCCCCTTGCACCGTCTCTGTGGGAAACCGAAAGACTTCTCCCAAGTCATCTCCCCCAAATATATGTTAGACTTAGGACACTGCTTGCAACTAATGGTAAATGACTGTCATGTTGTCAGACTACTGTCTGGGCCTACCACAAGTAGGGCCCGCTCCCTGCTGTTAAGGACAATGGGCTACTTCTCCCTAAAGGCTTGCAGTCATCAGTTTGGTTGGGTAGTTGGGGTTTACACCCTACTGATAATGGTTTCTATAGTGAGCCAGAGAACAGGTCCAATAGGCTCAGTGATATCCAAAATTAAGCTGCCTCCCTGAATCTAGGATCTGCCCACCTTGTCACATGTGTACTCCCAATACCTCCCCTTCCTACTGTGTGGATACCTTTAGATCACCCCCTCCCATTACTGTATTACCTATAGCACAACCCTTCACCTGTAATTAGGGGGCTTGCACGTCCCCAGATATATAAAAGCCTTGGTTAGCAAC